CTAGTCTGTCATGTTTTAGTTTTACCATTACTAACCGAAATATTGAAAAAATGTGAGAAAACTTTCTTTGGGCAGCAAAAGATGACACCTAGAAAGAGAATAACTCATAACCGAAAAGCGAGTCCAGACTAAAGAGATTAGAAAATTGACAAGTGCGAGAATGTCTGTGCTGTAGTTTTTTACCACACGGTTTTCCATTTGAGGAGAAATTTAATAAAAAAAATTTGGTGCAGTTTTATGGGAAAATATACATTTTTAGATACTGCATAAATTTCTAGCGCAAAGTACCCAAAACCTATTCTTATTCTCAAACAATTGTAAATTATCTTTTCTAAAGAACCGATTTTTTACAACAGAGTTTCTTTAATGCAAAAATCGCTAACTCCAATTTTGTAGTTTTGACATGTGAACATTTTGCAATTTTCGACAAATCGATCGATAGAATCCATCGCCGAAAATGGGACTAACACTTTATTTTTTCCGTTCTATGCCATATAGAGGGAGAAAATTTAAAGCAACAATTTGGAGCGGCTTTTCAGATTTTTTTTTTTTTGAAATAGCATATATTTGAAACTCAAATTTTGCAAAATCAGCCCGTTTTTCATTCACAATGTTGAATGCAAAAATTGCTATCTCCAATTTTATAGTTTTGAAGTGTAAACATTTTGCAGTTTTCGAAAAAGCGGAGAATTTGTCAAAACTGGGACTAGCGCCATATTTATTATCGTCCTTTATTAGTTATTACATTTTTAAGATCAAATTTGAACGTTTTTTTAGAAAAAATATCTAGATTTTCCACAAAATTACGAAAATAATCATATTTTTGAAAAATTCAACATGAATTTATTTAAAGATCAGTGTATAAGGGACATATTTTCTTAATGAAAAATCTCTATCTTCAATATTATAGTTGGAAGAAGAAGCCCCAAAAATGATTTTTGCAATTTTCAACGAACATGAAATCTGCACCATAATGCTCTTAAGCATTCTTCACACTATCCAAAGACGAAGTTTGATCAAAAATTGGGTGCAATTTTTGAAAATATTTCTGAGGCTTAATGTAAAGAACATTAAAAATCAAAACATTTATTTGAAACTTTCAAAGCCTTGAGTGTATTCACTTGCGGATCCGGGGGAGGGGCGTCATGGGGTCCATGGCCTCCCCCAAAAGGCCTAGGGCTTTCTTTTTCCTTCTTTATTTGGTACAATTGGTTTAAATAGTTATTTATTTTTGAATGATTTAAATAATACTATTGCGTAGTATCATGCCGACAGTATATTAATAAAATGCAATACAATAACAAATATGTTTATTATTTAATAAAAATCCGCGATGCCACCCCCTCCTACTCCCATGATCGGCTGGATCCGTCTAAGTTCATTCAGATCGATTGGAGAATATCAATTTTGAAGAAAATCGGCTGAACGGTTTAGACTCCAGCGTGTAATATTTATCAACATGATTTATCCACTTTTTCTTTACCAGAGCCCAGCAACAAGAGATTTTCTGCCCAAAATTCGCCGTTCGGCGAATGTGTACCACAAGGAAGTAAAATACTTCGTTTTTGTAAACAATTATATTATATTGGTATTGTTTTCAGGGAAGGAATTACAAAATTTTGTTGAAAGTGGTAGTTGCTTTATTAACTTGCAAAGATAATAAAAACAAAATATTTTATGAGAAAATGTGCTATTATATCTTGATTGCTTTAATTTCTCCAGTATAAAATAAAAATATGTAACTAACCAATACAATAAACTTTGAAAAATAACGAACATTTAAAAGTATAAAATTACAGTATCCATATTATTAAACTATTTATTGAAAATCGTACTGAGGTCCGTACCACCTTAAGAACTGAAGTACTGCACATCGTACGAATTCAGTTATTAATTCATTCTCGAATTGAACTCCTTCAAAATCAAATTATCCTCCTGAGTGACATGCGCATGGGCATTAACATCTCCATCTGGGAAAGAGTACCCGAAGTTGTCGTGGGTGAACGCCATGGAGAACTAAATCTCGCGCCTGTCGCTGCTTATAACGGTTTAACTTTCAACGATTTGCGGTTGGCGCTGGAGCCGATGGCTGTGGCTAATTTTCTTTCGTGGCGCCAGGGCATACACGGCAGTTTAGATATGATGAAAATATTATACAATGTTTATTACATTTATATAATACTATTTTAATTTTTATATTTTATATCATTTAAAATGTATTTCCATTGTGGATTAAACCAGATAGTAAGGATTGGAGTAGACTGTTTACGTCACCCCCAGGCGCTAACGTTGGTAGCAGTTCCTACCTTACATTGCTGGCACTTGTTCTCTTCCTCTTCCGCAGTCTGCGATCATGGCGTCAGGGGTGAGCTTGTTGTTGAATCTTTATTATTGGTATTTCTTTGTGGCATCCTACTTCGAAAAGTCATTTTGAGCGTTTGAGATGTATTTTCAAATATTGAAGAATGCATGTGGCGTTTATTTTTTAGACCTTGTACACCTATCCGGAGAATTTTCGAGCGTACAAGGTGCTCATAGCTGCCCAGTATTCCGGCAGCAATGTGAAACTCGCAACCGGCTTCGTGTTTGGTGAGACTAATAAGTCGAAAGAATTTCTGAAGAAATTTCCCCTAGGAAAGGTAAGAACTTCTGTTTTGATTATAATGCAAAGCGTTGATTCAAATAAGCCTACAAAAATGTAAAGTCTACTGAAAGTCTCTCCCACATGTGTTGTTGGTGTCGCCATGCTGCCAGTCACAAATCTTGGCCCTTTAAAAGTTTCTTTGAAGTTGAAGTTTGGTTAAAGTAAAATGCTTTCCTTCTAAATCATACATCAATAGCTTCTTTCATTGTATTGGCCCGCTGATTTGTTTGATCTTATTGTATAACGACCATTTTCAGGTCCCGGCCTTCGAAACTAGCGATGGACAATGCCTGACTGAAAGCAACGCAATAGCTTATTATGGTAGGTGACTTTTCAAACTGTTTATTTTATAATTTTATTTTGTGTGTACATAATTTGCTGCTAATTAGGTTAATACAGTACTTTTGCTTTGGTCAAGTTTCAATTTTTGTATAGGAAAGGCTTAAACAATTGAAAAATGCTTCTATACTTTGCAATGTTTATTAACAAAATTATATTCTTTACGAAAAACTTCAATATAAAAAACGCCGTGAAAATAATTTCATGGTTAAAGTATTTCTGCAACGGTTACATGGAATTAATGTTGCTAATTGTGTACCTCTAAAATGTTTCATTATATTGCTTCAAATATACTTTTCCATGTTTTCTTAAATGCACTTTGTGTAAACCGATCATTTAGGCAACTGTGTAGCTCTACTTTTAATATTTTTCACAAGGACATTTCATCATTCATGGCAGTAGCCGAATGTTGAGTTGGTTTAGCTTCAGACTCTATTAGCCAGTAATGAATAATTTTCAAACTGTTAACTTTTCAGGAAGTGTTGAATATAATATTTCTTAATTAGGTTAATATATGGTGCAAGAACTAAGTTAAGTTTATTTTCTATCTTCCGGTAATTTGTGAATTACTACAAAATTTCTTGCGAAAGCTCCTGTGAAGAATGTGTGGTGGGTTAACGTGTGCATTATATATAATTGGTGTAAGAGCAATAATAATGTAGTCAATTTTGTTAGTTTATAGTGAACAAATGTTTTATGGTAACTAATTAAGATAGTTTTCTTAAGTGTAGTGTGTCTTTCATAGACTACTACGTATAGAGAAATAATTATAATGCTACAGAAATCAACACCCAAATTAATTTTGTGCACATGGCACTCGCCTTACAGCTATTGTTGGAGCCCTCTGGCAGCATGGTTTTGCAACTTCGAGGGCTAAATATTTGCTACAAGAGTTCTCCAGAGTGCAAGCTGTTGGTTATGACCTTTGTCTGTAAGAAAAAAAGTTTGATATGTTTTGCATAGTTGCATCTGCCCTGTTATCTTCAGTGCAGACCCACCACTGCTTTACCCTGGCCTCTCCCTCAGACTTAACCACAGGCATATAGCAGCCAGGCTCAGTTTGAGATCTGAACAAACGCAAGTCAGGAATCCCCTTGGCCGGGAGTGTACCATGCTTTAGTGATCATAGCTAAATCGACATCTGTCAATCAGAGATGGAAAAAATGTTTCGTTTAGGATGTGTGTCTATTGAAGAAATAAAATTGACAAAGTAAAATTTGAGATGCCTAGAAACATGTCCCTAAATGATTGTTGGGTGTTACTGGTTATATATAATGCACACATTGCTCTTCACACAGCTTTGCCAGGAGTCGTGTGGTGATCCAAAAATTGGGTAAAGTCATGCCATCACTTGTCTGAATCTCTATGAAAACCAGTTACTTTTTCATTTCTTTGGTTGTGCGATGTGGTACTCAAATATGTGGGATGGATCACAGAAATCTTAAAATAGTGTGTATTAGTTGATGTGCAGTGTAAGAGCAATAGCAACCTAGATTTTCTTATCTTCTAGTGAACAAATGGTATGAATGGCGTCAGTTTGCATAAGAGTAGGATTTCCTTAGTAGACTACCATGTATAGAGAAATAATTCTAATGGTATAGGAAAACTGTTTCTTCTGAGTGACTTTTGTTTTTCCATGACAGAAAAGTAATTTTTCTTGTCCCCACATGTAAATTATTTTCTGAAATAGAAAGAGGTTTACAGTCTCGGAGTTGTGGTGTGTGAGTAGGTATAGCCTTCTGAAATCCACACAGGAATAATTAGTAATAGATTAATATCCCTCACAACTCAACTATTGGAGTTCCCAATGCCAAGATGCCACAGGCTATACCAAAATCCCTCAGCAACTGCCCTCACAAGACCTGGAATCATTCCCTGAATAGATCTACTTATGATGGATTAATTGTTTTCAGAATTTCCTTTGAACTTTTCTACACGAGAGTGAAATGAATATAATTATGGATTACAATGTAGCAACTGTCTAGAAGAATCCAAGTAACAGTTTGCTAAACAAGTGATCATCATTTGTTATTCAGAGAAGTATCCTTCTGCTGTGACTGCTTTCAGCTGCGTCGTTTTGTAAAGTGTTTAAGTTAGTTTATGGCTCCCAGTAAGACATCGCAACTTCTCATAATTCACAACTATGCGTTATGTTTATTTTTTATATAATTATAAAACACAGAACCACAAAACACGCTCTATCTCGGCTCGCAACCATATTGCACGAGAGCAGGAAACGCATGCACCAGTACAATCTTACATCCAACACTTGGGTTTTCAAATAAACATTATCTTTAAAGCACAAGAAGTAAATTCAATGTAATGTATACCAAAAACTTTTTTATACAGAAAAGCTCGTTGCACTGCACTTCTTAGTTAAATTATTTCTTATTATGCAATAAATTTTCATTAAATAAGGGAATTTATCCATATAGTAGGTGTGCATAGACCAACATTTTGCACTATACTAACATATTTGTGTGCACAACGTCCTTGCCCTGAATCATCACTGTGTTGCCTCAATAGTATTAGTAGGAACCTCTTCGTTGAGTAAAGGAAAGTGTAATGCTGTACTTTAATTACAGGAGGAAGAGTAAAATACTGGTTCACACTGGATTTAGATAATCTCAATACCAGTACTAAGACAGTAATACAACTGGCTTCTTAGACGTTTGCAATATCTGGTGTAAATTCGATTTTTGTTGAAAGTAGATTGAATTTGTGAAAGTTTAATTTTTTTCGCCGTTGGGCAGGGGGATTTCGGGCCTGGAAAGTCAGAAAGTGTTTGGGATATTTTGGCCATGGAAAGTAAAGGTGATAAAAGGGGGCGCATGTGATTCCTTCTCTAAAGCGCCGGATTGATTACTCAATGACATCCGGTCTTCGCCGAGAAGGAGAGTAATTTGCTTTTCGTGGTGAAGTGGCAGGAATAACATCCTAGATTACTTCAATCAGAGAAGCTACATTACAGTTCCACCATCAATAATTTATTGAAGATTAATTGTGGATAGTTTGTATTGGTTCTTTTTTTACAGGAAATAAATCATTGGAGATTTAATCTTGTACAGTTGGAGGTGTCGAACTGTACTAAATTGTCAGATCTCTGTGGAAAGAACCCTATCATGATCTATGCAATTATCTGAATCCCTTCTCCTGAATATTAATTGCGATCTCTTGTTTAGTAAAAGAAAGTATGGGTTATCCTGTTTTTAATTAAAGGCGGGAGTTTTAGGCTTCATCTGTCTCACACAGAGTTTTGTTAATGTAAGTACCAAAACTAAGTAATTCAACCTGCTTTATGAAGTAATGTGATGTAGAGTGATAGTCGGAATGCTCTAATTATAAATAAAGCACCCTCTTCGCTACAAAAATGCATGAGCCATTCACCGTGAAATGTCTAGAAAAGGTATTTGAACGTCCCTTGAGTATATATATATATATATATATTGTTTCTTTTTACATTCATGGCATTGTTCTTTTCCTGAATGTGGGAGAATGTTAAAACATTTTTCCACATATGTAAATTTCAATGTTTGCTGGACTCGTGTATGTGCATACATACGTGTTACCTAAGCTAAATTACTTCTGTAAGATGGTGTCTAAGCCATAAATACACACTACGATAGGGCATAACTAAACAGCTGATGCGGTGGAGGGATACTTTTGTGCATTACACATGATGTTCACTCGTTTCGTTGCTTTAGCCTAGTCTTATAAAAATCACTCTCTAATAGATGTGATATTAGATTTTTGTTGAAAGGAACTTGAGACATGAGGTTTTAGTTTGTCATTGAGTGGTGATATATAGATGCTGGGATTGCAGGAATTCAAAAATTTTTTGTTTTAGAAACATGGATTTTAAGTAAACTGCTTCTTTATACAATGAAGTTGCAAATGGCCACAGCTAACGGAAGCCAGCAAAATGTGTGATGTAGCACCACAATGCTTTGTCAGTATTGCCACTCGACTTGAGTAAATAAGGGAATTTGATTGTTTGGAATAGTTGAAAAATCAGGGAATTTGTGGAAGGAGTTCCAAAGTCTGGGAACATTTTCAGATAAATATGAAGCTTTATATTTATAAAAGAATATTGTTATATTTCTTCTAAATTTCTGTTGGTTGAGTTTTATTAGTGTTGTATTACTATCGAAACAGAGGTGACATATTAGTTTTCAGGCTTCTTTAAATAGTGTTAATACTCTACAAATTCTATTAGTGAAAAATGTTCAACCCAAACCCTGAAAACTGGAAAAATCAGGGAAATTGGTTTCGAGAATCAGCCATCCTGTTTTAGAATTCTCATTGATTTTCATTTCATCTTGCCCCATCTTATTTTAATATTTTATCAAGTGACCATTCTGGTTCAGTGAAAGCTGTCAGCCTCCCAGCCCTACTCTCTACATTTCAATTCTTTACATACATATTGTAGACATTCCTGAAAATATCTCACATGGACACAACATATAAAGATTTTTATTTTATTTTTATAAATTTTGTGAATTTTTACTTTCTCCAAGGCTTCAAATTTTCCCCAAAAATTAAGATGTTTAAATTCAAAGGCCAACAATAACTGCCTGTTTGCTAGAGGAATAACTGTTGGGTGGATTCTGTCAAGGTTAGTCCTCATTGAAATGGTCAGGCTGTCTTCAGTCTGTCAACTCTGACTGAAAGCATTGTACGTAGAGCAAACTGCAACTCCTGCATTAACCCTTTTGCTATCAAAGGGGGGGGGATTGTTACCCCAGCACACATATAATTACTTTTTATCATAATTTTTTTACTATTTAATCTTGTGTAGTTGTATTTTACTTATCTACCTGAATTATGTTATAGAAGAAATGCTGATTAGTATAGGACATTCGGGATTTAATAACTTGGTGTGAGGTTGTATTTTTAGCAGGAGATGGGAGGTGTTGTGGACAAGTCTATAAAGTGTTATTATAGTACTTGGGAGTTAGTTTGTGAAAATTTCGAAGGATTAGTCTTGAAGGATTTGAAAAGTTATAGTATAGTAAAAGTATTCACAATCCAGATGAATTGTGTAAAGATCATCCTGAAGTGTACAGATGGTCTTAATGGGAGTGATGAAGATAATGTAGACGTTATAAAGTTGATATTTGTGCTGAAGACGAAAATGTGAATGAGACTAGACGAATGGTACTTTATTTGGCACTTTAGACAATGTTCAATCTGCGTATCCAAAACTATATTACGACATTAACAGCAAGAAAATTAAAACTATATTGAATTCTCTACGTGGTAACTTTGTTACTCCTTTTGGTATTACAGGTGCAAAATACTTCGGTAGTCTAAAGGTTGAGGTGGGTGGCATGGATCTACATTAAAAATTGCCTTTATTTCCTTTAAAAACAATACATTTAATATTAGCAGGAATCAGTTTGCAGTTGACCATTACAATTTTGAATCATATTAAATTGTGCGTGTATGTGTGTGTTCTTTGCAGTTGTGGATACTCCAACTAATGCTTTTTGTTTGCTTCAGAAGTGCCACAAGTCGAAGGTCACAGGCACTCACATTTACTTTAACAAATAGTGAGACACAACAGACTACAATGCGTCAAAATTGTCATATCTACTTACTGCTATATTTATGTTGATACTGTATATTGTTGAATGTGGTGGAAGAATTTGTGCTCTTTCCATCGTGGCAGGAATATTTGTTAGTCACTAAAGTACTTTTGTGGAGACTTGAAAATAGAAAAGTCTGAAAGCTACTGAAAACCAATGTATATTTTAATTTTTAACCTCTTAATATTCAGTTTAGGTTAATAATATTTTGTTTTAACAGAAGTGGTTCTTATTTGTAGTGTCCAGCAAGCAACTTCAAGGCAAGACTGATCTAGAAAGGGCACAAGTCATCCAGTGGTTGGGCTTTGCAGACAGTGAGATCCTGCCAGCCTCGTGCACCTGGGTGTTTCCTTGTTTAGGCATCATGCAGTACAACAAGCAGGTAATTAGACAACATTGTCATGGTCAGAAATATTCTTTGAATAAGAACTTCCTACATTGCATGAATCTAACTTTTTATCCTGAATAAAAATTGATGGGCAGCAAAAATTGAATTGGCAATGATTTTGTTTGTTCTTGTTTTTTCTTTTCCATTTTTGTACAGTACAATGGCCTTTGTTAGATTTTTTCCTGATCATTAAAAATGAAGATCTGAATCACATGGGAAATTTGCAATGGATCCCAACAATACATCTGTAATTATAATTAAGTATAATAGGCATACCTGATTTATTTTTGGTCTTTGCAACAGGGCCTGTAAACTATCCATCAAAATCTGATTGTTTTTTAGAAAATTTTGAAAATGTCTGGTATGTTAATCTAAAGAACCTCCAAATTTTTAACACTGACATTTTGAAAACTTACATATACTATTTTTCCTTTATGTACTTATGGAAGAGAAAAAAAAAAAATAAATAAATAAATATAAATATATATATATAAATATAT